GTCCTGTGGGTACTCAGGCCAGCCACTAGGATACACTGACTAAGGTAGAGGCCTAGGCCCCGAAAAGGGAGGCACCTGCCAGGAGCTTTGGTGGAATTGAAACTTAAGGTTAGGCCTTCTAGTTATAGCTTTTCTGTAACTCGCCGCTGCCTGCACAGGTCAGAGAGAGCCAACAAGCTCCTATAACAAGCTCGTGTTTCATGAGCCCTGACTGTGTTCCCCAGCCCCTGGGGGTTCCTCAGTTTGGGAACCAGGGCCATAGACAGTGAGCTTGGCTCATGGCCAGGTTCTAAGCCCTCAAAGGAGAATGACCATGGACACAGGCCTCCAGGCCAGCGCTCCACCTTGTAACCCACTTGATCTGCTCTCTGGAGGCAGCTCCGGAAAACACCTCACTCTGTCCTCCTCCGCTAGCATTTGTGGTGGGACCACAACTCAGTCTGGTCCAAGCCAGCCAGCTGCCCTGGGGGACGGTGCTGACCAGCTGTTCTTGGGTGCCCAAACCGGCTCAGTTTCCCTCCCCACCTGTAACTTATTCCCTTATCAGCCATCAGTTCATGGATTAAGAACCTCATAAAGCCCACTGCTTCCGTGTGCTTTTATATGAGCCAGCTGCTGACTCACCGTGTGACCTTTGAAATGTTGATTTGGACCTAGAGCACTACAAGTCCTTCTTGCTAATGGTTTGGGATTTTATGTCCATCTTCTGGACTGGTGTGAATTTTAGTTCACTTGCAAATGCTGCCACCGTGACCATCGCTGGGAGCAGGGAGAGTGAAATTCTGCAAGGAAGCTGAAGGGTGAATGCCCCTCTTTACTTCCCGAGGGGCCCCTGGTGCACTCAGAATAGCGGCTGGGAAGTCACCTGTAACCCTATAATCCTGTAAGCTGGAGCCAAGCCAGGGATGCCTCTCTCAGAGTCGTTTTTGTGCCCATCTGAACGGGTGGCTCTCCCCCAGCTAGGTCTGTGCACACTGCGAAGCACTTGTGTCTGCCACAGAGCTCCTCAGAGCCCTGAAACCTCCCTGGTGGGGTGACTGGACCATCTTCTGCTGCAGTGCTTGATCTTGGTCCCTCACCCATGACAGAGCCACCAGGGCTCTGAGAGCTTCCCCAGCACTAGAGTATTTTTTTTCTGTTACTGTGCTGGCTGCTGGTGGAAGCCCTAGATAGCTTCAGGACCCAGCCCCACCCCTGACCTCAGGGCAGGAAGGGGTCAGGGAGCACCTCGGCCCGTACCAGGAGGGTGAGGCACCCCGCTTGACTGGGACAGAAGCCCCGCCCTCAGCACCTCTCCATTTGGCCGGGCATCTGTATCCTTTAGTATAAACATGTTTATCCTAAAGCAAACGATTAAACCTGAGAGTGGCATTTGGGAACCGCAGTTGTAGGCAAGTCAGACAGAAGCGTATGTAACCTAGGACCTCCAGATCCAGGCCGTCTTGTGGGAGCGCGCCGTTCGCCTGTGGGGGCTACACAAACTCTGGGTGATTAGTGTCAGAACTGAGTGAAAGTGCCGGACATCCAGCTGGTGTCCAGAGAGCTGGAGCACTGCCTGTGTGGAAGCCCACACTTCAAGTGTCAGAAGTGCTGTGCTGTGAAGAGGAATAGGTTTCCTGGGCCTACTTTTGTCACTCAGCACCAGTGTGCAAGCCTTTCCATGTCAGAAGGGCACCTCCACCCTTACATGGCCAGGATCCGCCACTGAAAGCCATATAAAAATGCATCATGATGTAAGCAACCTTATGTTGTTAGTTTGTTTTGTTTTTACTCATTGAACTGGGGTCTCACTATGTTGCCCAGGCTGGCCTCGAATCCTGTACTCAAGCAACCCTCAGCCTCCCAAGTAGCTGGTACTACAGGCATACACCACAATGCCCAGCTCTACCTTCTGCTTTAAGATGTGTTAGGTGCCCCCGTTTCACACTATTCCCCTCCTATGATAAAGGCCGCAGGGGAGTACAGTGCTGCCCTTGCTTTAGCTCCTGAACAGGTGCCATCTGGTGTAATGTGGAGGCAGGGAGGCCCAGGAGTTAAAAGACCCAGATGCTGCCGGAAGCACTGGGGATGCTGGGAGCCGCCACTGCCCCTCTTCTAACCAGGGCATCTCCCTGCTGCCTCTAACCCTAGCATGAAACACTCTACTGTTTGCTACCGTAAAAAACAGACAGAAGCCACCCAGGGCCCCAGACAGGGTTGTGGGTGTTGGTGCGGAGTGGTTGCCGCGCCGAGATCGATACTCTGCTTCCTGCCAGGCCCGTGGCTGCCTCTGGGTCTCAGATCGCACTCGGGAAGACACCTGCTGGGCTCTCTGGGAACCCGTGGTCAGCCGCCCCCGCCGAGGCTCCAGGGGATCTCAGCAGCCCTCCGGGAACAGAGAGCCCAGGGACAGCTCTCCTGGCTAGGACTCAGAGGCCTGGCTGTGCCGCTCTGCCGGTGAGCGCCCAAGCCCAGGGCCTCTGTGAGAAGGAGGGCAGGAGGCCCGGGGCCGGCTGGCCATGCTGCTTCTGTGGGTGGACTCAGGCCATCACTTCCCTTCCTGGGCCTCAGTAGAATGGGGGGCTGTCCTTGCACCCCACAGCCTGAGGGGCCAGGAGACCATGGGCCAGAGGGTGCTGGGCTCCCCACCCAGTACAGCTGGGAAGCACATGCCGCAGAGCCATAGTCGAGCAAGCAGCAGCATGGCAAGGCCATATCTGAGCAAGGAGAACACTCCCTGCCAGCTCTGAGGCTCATAGGAACCCTTGCCTGCCATAGGTTCCTCTGTGTTGCCAGGAAGGGCCTGGCCTAGCCGTCGGGTGTGTGGGTCCTGTCTCACACGTGACTTGAGGTGCATTTTCTCTCTCTCATGTTCTAGACCCTGAAGTGGCAGGGTCACCCGGACTGGTCCTGCACAGGGACAACCTGGAGACCGAGGTCCCCTGAGTCCTGCCGCGCCCACCCTGGGGGCAAGACAGTCCAGCACAGTGAAAAGCTGTGCACATGTCCCACCAAAAGCATGTAGGTGGACAACTCACTTTGGATTTTCTAAGCCAGAATTTAACTCTGATTTAAGAAAAAGCACTGATTCTTTTTCTTTTTACCAGTTCTAGCATATGCTAAGTTTTCTAGGAGTACATCAAAAGAAAATTATACTTGATTTTGTTTGTAACTTAACTGAGAGTTGTTTTCTCTTTGGGGAAAACCCCGTCACCAGCATTGTCTCGGGGGTGTCTCGGACATCCACACCCCCATAAATTCATTCTCTCTCTCCCTCCCTCCCCCCTTCCCTCCCTCCCTCTCTCCCCTTCACAGTACATTCGAGGCATTAATAGATTTTTTGTAATTTATGTGATGGGTTATACAAACCGTGAATTTCATTTCAGGATAATACAAAGAATGTAATAAAATGTTTGTTATAGGAAGGGAGCCATGGGTCTGAGAGGTTTAAGAACTGCTGTGCTAGAAGTGGGAATGGGATGGCTCCTTCTTGCACTGTAGCCTTATTTGACAGTGCCCCACCTGACTGGGAAAACTGAGCCCCGCCCAGAAGGAGGAAGCGAGTATTGGCCACACCACTTACCGATGTGACTGAGAAAGACTGGGATGGTAACGTAGCTCCTCTTCTTCCCCAGAAGAGTAGCACAGGGTGGAGTAGAAGCAGGACGGTGTAAAGAATGCGTCTCCGGAACCAGGCTGCCTTGCTTCCAAATTTCTGCTCCACCTCCTGGGCCCTGAGCAAGCCACCCGTCCATACATGGACATAGCGCCGAGCCAGTGATAGGTTACAGGACGGGTGCCTGGCATGTGTCCTTCAGGCCTGCTCCTCCATCCTGCTCTGCTTCTTGTCCCTGGGTCCAGTGCTCTTCCATGAAACCGTGTTAGGTTCTCTCAAAACTTAGCACAGCCATTTTCTAACCATCTCCTGTCACTCCGGGCAGGCAGGGCCCAAGGTGTTTCGATGCAGCCACATGGTTGGGAGAGGACTTGGCAGAAGCTCTTGCCCTCCCTCCGGGCCCTGCCCATGAAAAAGGGAGTTGTCCAGACCCACGTGGGGCCCATGGGCCCAGGAAGGAGCCCGCAGGGCTAAGAGGCTGAGCGCCCTCGTGCACAGAAGCGAGAGGCACAGTGGTGGGGTCCTCCAGAGGGCAGAGAGGGCAGCCTCAGTCAGCACACCTGCGGGTCTCCTACAACAGCTGCGCATACAACGTGAACCCCACCTCAGCCAGCATGTAGGAAGGCCTCAGAGTCTCAGGCCTGGTGTGAAGGGTGGGGTGGGACAGAGCGTGAGCGTCAGAGGCCAGTTTGCTTGCAGAGTTGGGGTTGGTGCAGCTGGTTTCACATGGCTAACCTGAGGTGTCCCAGGGTTACTGCGGAGCCCCCACCTGCACCCAGCTATGACAGCTCCACTTTGCCCACTTTATCCACTGGGGCTCGGGAGAAAAGGAAAAGGAAAAAAGCCAGTAGCTTAATGGAAATCCAGCTGGGTGAATTACAGCTGGGTAAAGTACTTGTTTTTATTGGCTTCTTGGAACAGAGTGCTCGATCCTTTTCTCACCTGGCTTGGTTACAGCAGCATTACTGGGACTTTCAAAGCATGGACCCTGATGGATCCCAAAGGCCCACTGGCCGCAGCACCAGCAGGCTGCAGCGTCAAAGAGCCCGGGAAAGGGACTTCTAGACCCTGTGAGGAATCAGTTCCATTTTCCCTTTGAAGGGAGGGAGCACAGCTGAGTCTCAGAGATTTTTGAAGTTGGGCTAACTTTTGTTTCACATAAAGCTTTTTTGGTAGAAATTATCACCACCCCACCCCCCCCCCCCCACCCCCCCAAAAAAGAGACTGGACTGTATCTCCCGGACTGGGAGGCCTCTGGCTCCTTCTTCCTCCCTGAGACCTTCCAGGCTTGCGGTGACCTGGAGGCGGCCCTCGGGGTCTCCCCTACCCGGAGTTAGGGGGCGGGCGTAGGCCTTCCATCTCCTCGTGACTGCCCTCTGGCGGCCACTGTGGGGAAGCGCGATGTGGCTGCTTTCTGATCCAAACTGCCTTTGTGGTTGCCGTGGCAACAGTTACACAGGTCACCGGGACACTGCTCAGGCTCCGCTGTGCTTGCCATGGCTCTGGCCCTCGTGCCCTCTCACATTCCCCCACATTTTCAAAATCTTACCCATCCCCGCAGCACGTCAGGCCCCAGGGAAGCTTCCTGGCCGCTTGTGACCTATTATTCCTGCCCTCCCCTGCACTCCCACGGGGCTTTATTTCTGCCTCTGCCCCGGCAGTGAGCACCACGTGGCACGGCGTTGTTCCTGGCCCTGTACCCAGTCATGTTGGGACTTAGGAAATGTGTCCTCTTTACCTCTGGGCCCTCACAACCAGCTCGCTGACCGGCAGGGGCGCCCTGGTACACCCCACCCGCACCCAAGGGCACCCTGGGCCTGGCTCGCCTTCTCACCCTCAGCCCAGGCCCCAGCTCCTGCCGAGGGTCTGAGACTGTGTGGTGAGCAGCGGTCCCTGAATGAGCCTCGAGACAGCACCATGTCCTGCTGCCACTTTGCCCTGGCGTGGTGGCCCTGCCCTGGCCTCCACCCAGCCTGCCCCCAAGCCCCTCCGCATCGGCCCTGCCTGAAGGCACCGGTGCTCTCACCTGTCAGGTGGGTCCTCGGAGGCTCCTGCACCTCCTGCGCATCCTTTGCTGCTCTGTCTGTGGAGCCGTCCTGCGTGTGACACTGCCCAGCCCCTTGCTGGCCGGTGTAGCCTGTGAGCCCCTCCGGGGAAGGCACCTTGCTGTCCCCCTGCAGAGGTGGATGGTTTGTGAGCCAGCGAGCCAGTTCCCTCATGTCCCTGTGCATGTCGCGTCCCCTATGCTCCCTGCTCTCACGTCCTCCCTGCAGGCCAAGAGGAAGCCTCCCAAGCCAGCAGCCTGTGGATCTGGGCTCAAGGTGAGGGGTGCTATCTGTGATTGAGGGACATGGTCAATTGAATTGTCTCACACAGAAATCGCACCCGTCACCTTGGCCTGCTGAGCACCGCCTGGACTGAGGAGCGCACCTCCCTCCACCACAGTCCTGCCGCAGGACCCTCGCTGTCGTGACCTGAGGTGCACAGCTGCAGACCGCACTCCGGATGTGGACTCCAACAGACTGTGCCCAGCACGTGCCCTTACAAGACTTTCTGGTCTGTAAAATGGACCACCACACCTACCTCACAGGGGTGTTGTGAGGGTAGCATGAGCAATGTTTGGAAAAGGTTTTTGTCACCTGAAAATCACAGTAACCATCTGCGTCATCCGCAGAGGCTACTCCACCCTCGGCTCCTGCAGCAGTGGCAGCAGCTGGGCAGCGTTTCCGCACATTTCCAGTGTGACAGCCCCGGAGCTAAGTCACACATTGTTGAAGGGAAGAAACTACCTTTCCACGGGTGGGCGCCTTGTGTGGGCATCTCGCTCCTTGGTCCCACGCCTCAGATTGCCAGGAAGCCTTAGGGACAGTTGTCTCCATGAAGGCTCACACCCAGTGAGTAACTTGCCTGCCGCAGCACTGGTGAGAGACAGAACCCAGGCGAGAACCCAGGCCCCCGATCCCCAGTCCCCATCCCTGCCCCTTGGACCGGAGACCCTGATCGGCTGCTGTGTGCGCTGTCTGAGCCGTACGAAGCTTGATCGGGGGTGATTGTTACAGACACTGAACCTGGCCCATCTTTATTGGCAAAAACATCTCCTGGAGAAGTGGAGAATTAAGGTCCACTTTGTCTCCCAGAGCATACAGCCGCTCTGGAGAATGATCACTCCCTTAACAGCTGGCTCGAGGTTGGGCCAGGCCTGGGCCGCCTGTTCCTCCAGGTAACCTCAGGCTGCTTCCCTCATTTCCGAGGCCTCTGCTCAGAGTGTGCCTGTCATACACAGACCCATGCACTTGCCACCTCAAGCCTCTCACTGTCTGTGTTTTCCTTATGTGCTCTGTCTTTGCTTGTAGCCTGTCCCTTCTCTCTAGATTGCTAAGTTCTAGGGGAGCAGTTTGTATCCACGTCTGTTCCCCCAGTGCCTAGCACAGTGTTTGATGAATGAATGAGCAACATCTTTGAATTCCTGAGCATCGGTTCTGGGCTTTGCAACAGCAAAGACAAGTAAGGCATGGTTCATCCCTGTGTTCGCAGAGTGAGGTGGGGAAGAGACACCAGGGTGAGCTCTGAGGAGCAGGTGGGCCAGGCCCGGGAGGACAGGCTCTGGTGTAATATTGCAGCCTTAGACTTCCCTCCGGAACTGTAAGGAAGGACAAGTGTGTGACAGAGTTGGGCTCCAGTTCTCAGTGGCTTCAGATCTGTATCTCAGGGCAGTGAGTGGCAGGCAGCATAGAGCCCTCAGCAAGAGGCCAGTGCTCGTGCCTCTTCATCTCCAGTGTCCTGCTTCTCTCCAGCCCCTGTGGGGCAAATTTAGTCCCAAGAAGGGAAAGTGGGACCCAAGGCCCAGGGGGAAGGACTGAGCAGGGCAGGACAGTGTGAGCCCACGTCAGGAGGAAGCGAGGTCCTCCCCTTCCCTGCCGAGGCAGCTGGGCCAGGGGTACAGATTCCTTTGGAGCCCCATGTGGCCCTTCAAAACTCTGTGCATGTTTTGCATATTTTTATCCTACTCCAAGGAAGTTCAGAGGGAACAGTGCAAACCCACGAGGGAACAGTGCAAACCCACGAGGGAACACCCTAGGGGAGTTGGTGCATTCAGGGAAACGAGGTGCCTGATCTGAAGAGGGTGACTAAGAAAGAGAGCCAAGGAGGCCATTAGGGGACCAGGCCAGGCCCTGGAGGGCAGGAGGCATCAAATCCCAAGGTTAGGATTTCCTACAGAACCAGGGGAAAGGCAGGGAAGAGCCTGGCTTTCTGCCATTTGGTCTGTAAGCACAGGCTCAGGGGCCGAGGCAGAGAGAGCAGAGGGGTGTGGAAAGCCTCCAGGAGAGAGCAAGGGGGCTCAGATCTAGGCAGGCTGGAGAGGGTGCACCAGACGGACAGCACTACAGAGACAGCAGAGGCTGAGAGTGGGGAGATCAAAGTCAGGGCGTGGGGACAGCGCTGTCTGCAAGAGGGCCGAGCTCGGTTCCTGTGTGGAGCTGGGAACAGAGAAGGATGCAAGCTGTCAGAATCAACGGGCTCCAGTACTGAGCATGGCCTGAGCCCCTGTGCAGAACCCTCCAGCTGAGAAGCAGGCAGGTGGAGAGAGGAGGAGGTGACTAACGCTGTCACCCGAGGGCCAAGGCAGAGGGTGCTTCCGGGGCTCTCTGGACACCAAGACTCTGACGGTCAGGAGCACACGGGCCAACCTTCCACCCAGAGGGCACGGTCACCGAACCCATGGGCACAGCAGCACTGAGGCCCATGGCAAGGCTAAGAGAGGCCGCTGCCCCGTGGGGGGCAGAGAGAAGTGCTTGCTCTGGGCTGGAGGGTCGGTCACATGTAGACCGGCAGCTGGTCAGACTGGGAAGGAAAGCGGGAGCAGCAGGAGCAGGGTGGGGGAGGGCAGACGTGGCAGTGAGGAAGGGAAGACCCGGAGCCCCTGGGAGGGCCTAGGAGGAGCTGGTGGCGGAGCTGTGACAAGCCGGGGACTTATGTGCCTGCTTCCCGTTCCCTTGGGCCTGCACAGCTACCCCGGTCTCACCCACAGCCCACAGGCTAAGCGAAGAGCTGCACAGCAAGGTCCCTTCCTGCAGTTACCTGGTATCCCGGAGCCAGGCGGGCTGAGCCCCCACCAGGTCCTTCAGGCCAAGCCTACGGAGCCATGTGGACAGACACATCCAATAGGTTAGCAGGGAGGCTCATTAGAAATTGATGCGCTGAAGCCCATGTGGTGGCTTCGAGGCATATCAGTTACCACTGCTCCAGCCAGGCGGCTGAGGAAGAGGAGGTAAGTGGCCGGGATGCGAGAGGCACCTTGCGGACGGTGCCCAGGAGCCCTGCCCGCAATGGTCAGCAGGGAGTGGACCTTCCACTGTTTCTGCTTCTGCCACTGTGCCTGCGCTGTGCTCTGCAGAGTGACCTGTAGGTGACGAGAGCGTGTGCCTCCCTCTCCTCCCCACTCCCCTGTGCTGCTCCTCCCACCTGCTCCCGGGGTGGGGGGGGGGCGGGGGGGGCTGGAGCCCCAGCCCTGGGACAAGCTGGTGAGGTCCTGTGGGTGTGGCTGGCTGGAAGCAGTGGCAGCAGCTCGGAGGTCATCCACCCATCCCAACCCTCAGTTTCCCCATCTTCCCCCTCAGGCAGCTGACTCCTCAGACTCTGCAGAGGCGCTTTGCAGACATTAAGGTGCAGCAGATGTGCCATTTGGGGCTCCAGATTGGTTTTATTAGGAAAGAGGAAGCCAGTTGTGGCCCACGCCTATAATCCTAGCACTCTGAAAACTGAGGCAGGAGGGTTGCTGCAAGTTGGAGGCCACCCTGAGCTACATAGCGAGATCTTATCTCAGAAAAAAGAAAAAAGAAGGAAATAGGAAAAAAGGACCCTGTCTACAAATCAGCTCTCCTGAGGAGGCGGCCTGAGTGGGCCCCTGCCTGCAAATGGGGTGCTCTGGCCTGTACCTTGGGCCTCAGGACCCTTCCATGCAAGCAGAGGGCAGGGCCAGGAAGGGATGCAGCTCACTGGCACCAGGGCGGCTCTGGGCCTTGAGCTGTCTTTGTCGGAACTGAAGGGACCCAGCCTCTGCTGTGACCTTGTGGGAGCATGACTGCAGGGCTGCTCGGTGCTTCTCCCTCCCGGAACTACAGCAGTGCCCTGCTCCTCAGGAAGCCGGGCTGTGACTGCCCGCCTGGCCCAGGGTTCGGGTCTGAGGGTCTGGCTGCAGTTCCACAGGCACTGGTGACCCAAATGACGGCAGCCTAAGTTCCCGCAGTGAGGACGAGGCCTGTGTCCTCGAAGTGAGCAACCACCCCGGCATTCAGATGGGCAGGGTATCAGTCAGGTGTCACTGCTGGTGTGCCAGCTGCACATTTGGCCAGGCCGAGAGAGCATCAGGGTGCTGTGGGGCAGAGCTCTGGCCGGGAGACCTTTTCCTGGGTGCTGGTGCCAGCTCTGCAGCCAATTCCCAGGTGGCCTTGGCCGGCTGACTCTAAGGAAAGTGGCCAGACCAGGACTTCGGCCCAGGTCACAGACTCCATGCCCACGTGGACACTCGCCTGCTTGGTGTAGGAGTGGTGCCCACGGGGGTCACAGGGCCTTGCTGTTAGAGGGGAAGTGTGCCAGGCCTGGGACAGCTCCACCCATCGCCATCCTAAATGGAGGAGCTTCCTGGAAAGAGGGGAAGGGGCTGGCCAGAGAGATGCAGAGGGAGAGGGTGAGGGGGACCGGGAGGGCTTGGGACTCTTGATGGCCCAGACCAGGTGGCTATCCTTTCCTGGCCAGAAATTCCATCAAGCATCACCGAGCAGGTGCTGATCCTCTGTCTGGCACTCTCGGATCTCAGGTTCCAGCTTTTCAGGCCAGGGGACACCTGGACTGGAAACTGAGCCTGCCCCTCGGTCACAGCCAATCAGTGTGCGGGCGTGCAGGGAAAGGCCTGCTTGGCCACCTTGGCCCTGTGGATGAGAACCGCCCATCGGAACCCTTGGGGTGGGGTCACAGAGGAGCTGTCCCTGGAGGGACTCCTGCCTGCCAACTTATCCTGAGGGTAGCACAGGGTGCGCTCGCATATTTGAGCATTCAAAGGAGGAAAATCCCATCACCCAAGATAGCCAGTCTGCATTCTGGTGCACTTCCTTTGCTCCTTTGAGTGGTAGATTCCATCTCTCTGCTTTACGGGAGACTGAGGCCCAGGAAGAGGAGGGACCTGCGCGGTGCCTGACTGCTGAGTGGCAGGGCACAGTGGCACAGCCTGGCTGAGGGGCTGGGCGGCGGAGGAAGACCAAAGGGGGCAGACCACAGCCCCCACCGTCCAGGCCTACGAGACCACTCTGGTCCCGACACACCTCCAGGAAGACTTCCTGCCCACGGGACTGTGTCCACTCAAGGCACATCACACAGTGGCCCTTGGGCTCTGCACACCCTGCGGGTCCATGAGCGACATCTTTCTCCTGGCCCCTCTCCCAGTGCCTCGTAGGTGGGCACTGAGGCAGCGAGGCAGGCGGGTTCCGAGAGCCTCCAGTCTCCCAGCAAGGCCCCACAGGCGCTGGTCAGCACTCCCCTTCCTGGCCCTGGCCTCCTCCTGTTTGCCCTGCCCCTCTGCTGTCAGGTGAAGCAGTGGAGGACTTCGCTCCAGAGTCCTCAGCCAGGGCCGTG